AAATCCTAATAAAAAAAAAAAAAAAGAAATTTTGCTAAGATATTCAAGCAAAGAAACTCCAAATAGCGTTGTCCCTTCCCCTGATACTCACAGTAGACTTTCTGGCATGACCGCAATAATTATCTTATTCCTCTGTAAGACATTGGAACATGATTTTGGCTGGACTCCAGGAGCAGAAAGCTATGAAAAATGTTCCATCTGTTTGTCCATCTGCCAGTGACATAGCTGTTTGTTATTGCTGATTGCCTAGACTTGGCTTAAATGAAATTTCTGTATTTTATTTGTAAAATCTCAAGAAAAGAAAAATGAAGAGAAATGTTTAGGTTTTCTTATCCTAAAAAGAAGTGTTCTATCAGGGTATTTAATATTTCTATTTACTTTTTGAGCTCACCCATTCAGTCAGCTCTTACTTGCTTCAATAAATATGGATTTTCCCATTTTCATCTTTCATATCCTTTGTTTTAGGGAATAAAAATTCTTTGGGTTACCAAATGTATTTTGATAAATTTTATATATTTATTTGTCTTTTTTATTTGAGGAAGTTCTGTGAAAGCAAAAACTAGAGTTCACAGTAACCAATTGTTGGAGAGTCACCAACTTTATTGCATTGGTCATTATTAAAACAAGCATGTATACAAATGAAGAAAAGGAGGAAATTTTTTTTTTTTTTTTGAAGTCAATATTGAAAGTAAATTGCCCTGGAAAATTTATTGGTTTAATTATGTGATTTCTATGAATTCTTACAAAAGTGATGAAGGATACCAAAGAAAGTTTCAGAACATTTCTGGCATTTAACTTAAAACAATCAACTCCTGCTTCCATCCTACCTTCTCTCCTTCCTTCTTTCTTCATATCTTTCTATAAGGGAGGTCATATGGTATGATTCAGTTAGAAGGAGGTTAGTAAAGCATTTATTGCTCTTAACTAAAGAAGTAGTTCTTAACCAGGATTGTATGTACAGTATTTCTTTTTTAATTTTAAGGAGTAATAAGGGAGGTAACCTCTCTGCTTGTAAAATAATTTAGAAGAATCCCATTGTTTCCATTTAGGGCTCTGCAGCATCAAGCTGATGTGTCTTGCCTTTGGAAGCTAGTTGGGGATGCTTGCACCAGTCTGTATGCTGTCTCACCATCTAAAGTGAATGTTAATGTTTTAGGAGTCCTTCTAGGTCAGAAAGAAGGAAAACAGGTATTGAAGAAAGATGAGCTCCTTCATCTTGGAGGAAGGTAATTATAAATATTGCCAGTTAATAACCAACACTCAAATTAAATGAGAACATTATAACAAAACATAACTTTCACTTTTATGTTTCTGTAGGTGTTATGGTCGTGCATTAAAACTGATGTCTACATCTAATACATGGTGTGATCTTGGAATTAATTATTATCATCAAGCACAGTATTTAGCTGAAACAGGCAGCAATATGAATGATCTTAAAGAGTTGCTGGAGAAATCTTTACATGTACGGTTTTAAGAAATTTTTTAAATAAATTTTTAAAAAAACAAAGTGCTTTCCTGAAAGATATTTTTGATACATTAAAATATTATAGCATTTTCCATAAAACCCTATTTATCTTGATGTTGGCATTAGTTGCTATTGAGTTCATTCTGATTCTTGGTGACCCCATGGGAAAGTGATATTTCAAGAAATAAAAACTAATCTAACTTCTTTTCAGTGTCTGAAAAAAGCAGTGAGACTGGACAGTAATAACCACTTATACTGGAATGCACTTGGTGTGGTTGCTTGTTACAGTGGTGAGAACTGAGTATTACTTATTTCAATATTTTTAGTAGTTGTTTCAGGTGATAAAGTCTAATTTAATCAAAATCTGTATTTTTCAGGTATTGGAAATTATGCCCTTGCTCAGCACTGTTTCATCAAGTCAATTCAGTCGGAACAGATTGTGAGTGTTCTATATGCCTACCTATGAGAAAGAACTTTGAAATTTAGTGTTACTAATTTTTTGAGACTTAAATGGACAATGGTCCTAAATTTTTTTTTTTTTTTTAATTTGTTGCTTAGAATGCTGTTGCATGGACCAACTTGGGAGTGTTATACCTTGCAAATGAAAACATTGAGGTAAATAAGTTGCCTGTTTTGTCATATTAAAAGTAGAGAAAGTTTTCTGTTTTCTACTTCTCATGGAGAAATACTTTGGACAGTGTTATCTATCTAGTATACTCTCAAGTATACTAGTTAATTGATGGCATTCAACTTATTATATTGAATAATTAAAATGCGAAAAGTATTTTTCTTCCCTACTCCACTCAAGAAATATCTGGTTTTCTAATATGTCATTATATCATTTAGAGATTAAAACAATTCTATTATGAATTATTTTGGGAATTTTTCTTTTCCTCTCTATATATGTAAGAGATGTCTTTCCTAGGCTGGGGTGAGGATGGAGTGGGCGAGGTGAAGGAGACTACTTGTACTCATGCACTCTAGCAGTTTAAATTTAATCTTTGCTTGGGTGATTTAGACTTGACTTTAGTGAATATTAATCTCTTTAAATACCACAATGTAATTTTTTGTATTTGAACTGTTATATCAGGGAATCAGAACTAAAATAATGTGTTTATAGGTCATGTTTGGAAAATTTTCACAGATCTGTAGATAATAGCACATCTGTACCGTCTTGTCTTTCAGTCAGTATATTGAATCTCATCCTTTTTAAATAGCTTCAGTAATATTCTCAGTGACATGAAGTTACTGCAAAGAAGGAAGGAAGGTTGGGCAATCCTACTTCCGTAGTGATACTGCCTCGGAAACCCAAGGAGGGGTCGCTATGAGTCGGGTTTGACTCGACGGCAC